CTGACCAACCATGCCTTACGTGCTATCTCGTATGTAGTTTGCAACTATTTAGCCTTAGTACTAGCTTTTTTGAGGAATCTCTTTCGATATGCCCGCAGTTCTATATCTGCTCATATCTATCCCTACACATTCATACCTATCATTAATCCCTTATTCCTAAATTGAACCCATTTTATATCTTCTTAATCCCTTATTTCGTTGTCTAAACATTTATATCTATCCCCAGTTATCTACTCCCAACCCCTTATTTCTATAAACTGGAAAAAGAAGTACAACACCGAAACATTTCGTTGTAAAAATCAAAACCTTACTAGGTTTCATACCGTATTAAAAAAACATTCTTGAGTTTGTAGCAACCACGAAACCCAATTGTGATTCGAGATGGCACCTTATCATTTTGCAGTACACACCCACACCCACACCGTGCACACAGAAAACGTTTTTCTGAAATCTGTGATAATAGTTGAGCTTACGGCTTGTATTTGGATCATCTCTTTCGTGCAATGGCTCCTAAGAATGAAAGTCGAAACTAACAACTTTTTTATTCTAGAAAGCTTTGCATCTAACAGAATATAGATTCTACGAGACAAGTCTTGCATTTGTTTTGCTTTCCAAATGCAAATCTCGATTCATGGATAATGCCATAAGTCCTAAAATGCCATTCAATGAAACTGGAGAATGTATTGCTTATTTTGTCCGTGAAGCGTCTAAAAATACCAACATGTACAATATAGGCACATTAAAAGCTCGATTTCCCGAAATACTCGAACGAGCAGCAAGTGGTTTGATTGCTGAGGGTGAACTGGTAGGATGTAGGGAAGAAGCAGAATCAATGGCTGATCAATTGCGACAGCTAACCAAATGCAACTTCAAAGATGCTGGCGAATGTTGTGCTCGCTTATATGCAATGGAAAGTTTTCTTTATCGAAAATTTAACGAAGTGATGCGGCTAGTGGGACAAGTTGAACAAGAACATATATGGAAAAGCAAGCTTGATACGTTTGGTCCTTTCGCATTTCTTTTACAAAACTACATGCTAACCGTGTCCCTTCGTCCCAATCTAACTATTTACCGTGGCGCACATCTATCGAACGAGACAGTCCAAAGTTTTAGGGATGCAATCGACAAAGGGTATCGTTCTTTTCAAGCATTCACATCTGGCAGTCGGAATCGACCCAAAGCAGAACATCGAACCGTTCAAAAACTGTGTTATACGTGAGTACGCACTATGTTAAAACCAACATTGCGAGATATATTATAATCAAATAAACTTTAATTTGGCAATATTTTATTTATCATGGCTCTAGATTATGCATATTCGATTGATATGGCTCCATTCTCAAGTTTTCCCGAAGAAGAAGAACAACTTCTCTATCCTGGTTCTACATTCATTATTAAGTCAATCGAATACGATGCACAAACGAGAAAACATCTGATTTATCTATCCATAAGATAACCAACTGTCTTGAATTGAATTCAATACTCCACTGTTGACCATAGATATTTGCTTGAAATACAGTTCTCCTGAAGAGTTTACAAAGATCTGTTGTCCTATCAACACTGTGACATTTTTTGTGTGCAAACCAGCTTCTCAAGTACTTTTGAGACAGT